TCCAGATAGAGGGAACCACATGTACAAAATCGATGTGAAGGAGAATGGATTGTTCTTTTTGAAAAATTCACTCTCTTTCACACTATGACTTTGCAGACGAAACTACTGTTCCAAGTTTCTCGTAAGGAGAGACTGGTGTTTCTTTATATTTAGTTAATTTATTCATTTGTACAAATTTATCAAGTACTCATTGTGTACACAACAACATGTGATATCTTGAAGAGAAGACAAAATACATCTTGGAGAGGGATTTTCCATTGAAAAGCAAATCATTTAAATGGGAAGTTATGATGTAATGGAAAGAACACAGGCATTGGAGTTAGAAGTCAATTTGAGTCTCAGTTCAGCTACTTACTAGTTGTGCAACCTGTGACAGTAATTTCAGCTAGATGACCTAATTTCCTCATCAATACAATAGGCACTGCAAAACTTAACATGGCAGAGTTGTTGTGGATATAAAGTATTTGGCACAGAATTGATACTCAAAAATAAAACAGAAAAACACCAAAAACTGTCCCCTATTATTCTAATTGTTCTCAGGGATGGACTGAATACTAGCATATGATGGTATAAAATTTAGAGTCAAAAGGTAACTATATGAAAGCATGGCTCCGGTAGATTGGGCAGTCATGGAAGAGTTCACCGAGGGAGCAGAATGTGGATTTTCCTACATAAATGATATCTGGAGAGGTTTAATAAAAAAGAAATTCCCTTTGGGAGAAAACACACATTTCAGGGTTCACTTTAGAAGGATAGTCTAAAGTGTGTAGAAAAGACATGTGTCCTGTGGCAGCAGAGAGGCAGGGGAAAACAGTTTTATGTTAATGAATAATGAGATACATTGGATAAAACACATATTATGAAGAGCCTTGAAAATCAGGGTAAAGATCTTAAATACTAACCCAAGAACACAGAGCATTACTGAAGGTTTTGAGACATGTACCTATCCCAGAGGCATGATGAGGACCACATAAGGAAGTAGAATGCATGACTTGATCTTTCTTATCACTGAGACTTCACACGAACTCTCATCCCAGAGTGGCCACCCTTGACCTCTCCATCTAAAGTAGCCTCTCCCTCTCTGTAACATCATATGGTGTAGAAATTATCTTATTTATTTGTTTATTTGAAATTATTTTCTCCTCACACTAGACTTTAAGCTTCATGAGAACAGAGACTTTGTCACTCTGGGTTTACCAAAATATTTCTAACATTTTGAAGAGTATCTGACACATAGCAGGCTCTCATTTGCTCTCTCTTTTCCCCTCCTCGCCTCTCCTCTCCTCCTCTTTCTCTGTCTTTCTCTCGCTCCACACACACACCCCCCACCCCACACTAACATTTACATATTTTCCTGAAAGGAGAAATATTAAAATCTCTTGCAATAGCATAGATATGAGCCGGTGAAGGCTTTACAGCAGAGTGTTGGCAATGGGTATAAGAAAGAACAAATAAGACTTATATTCATGCTACCTCTGTAGACTTAGAGCTTGTCAAAAATAATTTTCATGCCAAAATGTACATTACATTCATATAATTCAATGAGTATCTAAATCTGCCAAGTCATGAGCTTCTGTCACAAATCTATTTATCTGCACTGAAACAGTCCACCCTCCATCCCTCACCAGAGTTCACAAATGCCAGCTCTCTGGTCATTCATATGTCATGCTTCTGTAAGATAGCTTCCTGTAGATAATCACACCTTTCAAGGTCTGCTGTGTAAATACACACTAGCTAATACTTAATGACAATCCATTTTTCTACTTGGCATTAGAGGGAGGAGTTGTCACATTATCTTTTCTATCAGGGAAGTTACTATGTAACGGCATCTTTTTTTCCCTAATACTATTAATAAAAACCCCTCTTCTACAAGGACAGGATAACTGCATTTTAGACCATTTTAATTTGACATAATAACTTCACGGGGGCAGTTAGGGGGTAAAGAGAAAAGGGACAGAATTCACCAGATATAAGTTCAAAGAATAAGTGGCCACTCTGAATCTGTATGATTTATTGTTATATCCCCGGCATCCTGCAAATTTCCTAGAAAATAAAAATTAGTTAGTAAATTTTCCATTGAAACAGAGCCTGAGGTAGAGATAGTGAAGACAAATTCATGCTTCTTCCTCTCATTCTTTTGGTCTCAACTATGCCCACATCTATATTCCAAATCCAAATTACTCACCGTGTATCCTCACTCTCATGTTCTAGAGCCTGAGATAAACCACAAGGTTTGAAGCAGGATCTCTGAAGATTCATAACCAAATGGGTAAGAAGAGCTGAAGAAGCACAGGGAAGGGTGGAAATACTTCTAAGTGTGATGGAAAAAGAAGAAAAGAAGGCTAGTAAAGAAGGACCTTGACAGGTAACCTGGAGCAATATTCAGGGAAAAAAAAATCTCTTCCAGAGTAGAAGAAATCAGGACATTCTGTATTGCCCTTCCCTAGTTTCCAACAGGCCTGCTAGAGTTAGTAATGTATGTCTGACCCTTGTAAAAACCAGTAAGCAATGACACTGAAGAAGAGGAGATTCTAGGGGCAATATTTTTTGTCTGTTATTATGCAGGAAAGGAGTGGGGTCAAAAGAAGAAGAAAGAACAATCTAGCACCATTGTTTTTTCAGGAAAATGCCTAAGCTTAATAATAATACAGGAAACATGGAGAAGAGATCTAGCAACCCACAAAAAACTTGGAACATGCACTCAGAAAACTTACACGGTGTTACAATGGATGAGAAACTGGTGTTCACTTATAAATTTATGCATACTGATCAGATACTTACACCAGATTCTATATGGTTTTTGAAAGCCTCGATACAGAAGAAATTCTGTGGGGTATCTTGTGGAATAAATGTTTCATATATTTACTAAATGAAGAGAGAAAAATCCATTTCCTCAAACAGAAAAATTGTTCTTGACTGCCTTATCACAAATATTTATGTCAAAAAAAATCTAGAGCAATAAATGACTCTGCAAAAGGCTTCCGTTCCAACTGTGAGAACGAAAAAAGGTGCCTTTTATCTGGTGGTTCCTCAGTAACCTGATCCACATTTAGAATATTTTCTTTACTATTGTTATTCCTAGCACCATCGAAAGCTTTTAATAAGGCAATTACACATTTAATCTTGATTAAACTTGCAACATCTCTTATTTACTATGTAGCTATTTCTTTAAATATTTCCATCATTGCCAATATGGATAGAACTCAATAAAAATACCAGTTTAAAAGATTGTCATATTTCTTTAAAATGCACTGTGGCAGAATATTCGTGCTTGATTATTTAAACATTTTCCCTTTGCCTCAACACCAAATTCATGTTCTCCTTGGCTTGACAGATATTTTAAATAATATTTAAATTCACTAACCATGGGTATTGCTTTCAGATAAGTTATGTGAACTAAATGATATTTTGCAATCTTAGACCTGATGAACCACATCTGAAGTCACCTGAGCAATCTAGCAGGGAATGAGAACAAGAAGGAAATTAAGATAAAACGAAAAGATATCAAGCCACAGAAGACAGGGATTTCCTTAAGACTGAATTTTGCCATAAAGCAATTACCATTCAAGTGAAACTATCTTATAGGTAAATTTCCTCACAAAATCAGTAATTAAACCTCCTTGAGTGAGGTTGAAAAGTAAAGTCTGTGACTACCGTACAGTAAACAGTGTCAATGAGATTTCAGTTTATGCCAATAAGCTTTACCATATTTTTCAAATAAATGATGCTTATTGGCCAGAACATTTCTCTGATATTAGTAACAGCCTGGTGACCAATTTCTTAAAAGCATCTAGATTGACAGTTATTGGATTTTTTTCTGCATTATCACATTACAGAAGTAGGAAAAGTAACAGGCATTGGAGTATTTGGAATATGAGGGTGAACCACAAGAGTAAAATATTATTTGATTATAATACTCAACATAGAGTTGCATTGCTTGACAGAAATGCTTTTAAGGGTGAAGTAAAGTATTTTTCCTAATTTAAATCCTCTAATATGTAATAAATATAAGCCCATTCTTACTAACAGACAACAAAATAAAAACATAAACCTCATAGCATATGTCTAGCCCTACACAAATGTATTCATGATTTTGATATAGCATCAATAAAACATTTATTTTAGAAATTGAGTAAACTTAGAATATATATTCTCAGCTTTAAAATATCACCACCTTTAGCATTTTCAATGTTTTTCTTCGTATTTATGATATTGAACCTGGTTAGAAAGGAAATAAGACTCTGTAGGTCCTTTAATGGAATTCTCTGATAGAAAGAATAACACTGTTTTGAGATAAGGAAAGAAGGACAGTTCATATTTTTGTTATTATTTTGATAAATAGAAACTATTCTTCCAACAGTCTCTTACTGTCATGAACCAGTGATTCATATTGGATTCCTACCTGCCCACTGACAATTATCAAATGGACAATGTCATAAAAAGCAAGTCAAATAACTAAATAACTAAGGATATTCTACCTGAAGTATGCTAAACAATGTAACTGCTTACTGAATAGGAGTCATTGTTTGCCCAACTTAGAGCCCCTGTTTTCACGGCTGGCCTTATTTCCATCTCTAGTACAGGACAGTCCAAAGCTCCCAAATGCTCCACCCTCCCTGTCCATGGCCACTTGGAAATAGAATGGCGCCTGTTGCTAGTCAGGTTGAGTGCAAGTACCAAAATATCATGGAGAGTTGGGTCTAGAATTGATACCCTGGTTAATTTAGAAAGGGTAAAGTGAATTCATGGAGGAAAAGAAAGAAGGTAGTCCAGAGAAGAATGGAACAACCAGAGAGAACACAAGCAAGAAAGTACGCAGTCCCTCAGAATCAAGAGAGGTGAGAAAGCAAACTTATTACCTGAACTACTCCAAATAAAATAATTTAAACACCAGATATGGTACAGATTAAACAACTTTAACAAGGGATTTAAAACACATAACTATACAGAGAGAGAGAGAAAACAAAAAACAGAATTAACAACAAAAATAAACTAATCAATTAATCAATAAATACATTTTATTTCCCAAACCATGAGGTGAACAAAGATGCATTTAAGAGACAGCTTCATGCTCCAATAACCAGACTCATGGGCCAGAATGAGGGGAGAGGAAGAAAAAACGGTGAGAGATCTTCTTCACCTCATCTCTGTAAAGAAAAAGGTGGAAAGTACACACTCGTAACTTTATTTTTACTTGCATTTTTACCACAAATCCCTGAACCAAAATAATTATAAGAGAAGCTAATCAACAAAGGATTTAAAGATTGTATTAAACCAACGGAAAGCTAATGATGACTCACTCTAAAATCTCCAAACACAAGGAAATACGATCATAAACATACTATTTACTTCCAGCTACAAAATGCTACAGTCTCTGGTGATATATATGGAAGAGATAATTAAGATGAACAAAGAAAAGAGCTGCTTGCCAGTCTTGTTTTAGGTGGTGATTATCCAAATGAGCTTTATGCAATGGTGTTCCGATTTATTGGATTCTACAGCTAATTGCCCTAGCCTGAAAACTTCGTATAAATATGTGATGTCTAATCCCTAGCTGAAGACTACCTTAATAAAAGAAATAACACCACCTACCAAAAATGCTTGAAACTACCTGAAATGACTTGAGAGGAACTATTTCCACGGTGGGTGTATAAATGGAGTGCTTATTAATATTTAGAGTAGTAGGAAGAAATTACATTTTCTTCAACCATTGGCCTCATGTTATGCATTCTTACATGAGCATAAACTTCTGACAATAAACTCTTTCCACAGTGAGTGCTGGATTAATATCCACTTGGTATATAAACGGAATTCTATTCTGAGTCATCTTCACAGAAGTAGAAATCCAGTACTTTTGCTTCAATAATAAGAGTAATATCACCTTTGGACAAAGGTATAAAAAGGGACATGACAGAGAAACAGAAAAAAAACAAAACATATGAGTGTTACTTGACTGATCAGAACAAGTAAAATGACAAACTTCACAGGAACAATAATTTTTGTTTATTTTTGGAGGCATTTGGGTTGTCTATATTTTAGTAACTTACTTCAATACCGTTACAAAAAGAAGCAAGATTACTAAATCCTCTAGTAGACCAAAGCTTATCATCCATTTAGAAAATTTTGTCCTTTAATATATTTTAGATGCTATCAATATTTTCCATGGTCTGCCAGTCTCGCTTTCTTTCATTCACTCCTCTGTGCATTTTGTGGAGAGTTATTATTCCATTCCAGGAAAATTTGGAACCCTTCCCCTATCAATCTAACCCCTAAATTTTACTATGATGCTTCTTGTATCACAACCCAGTTACACAGTATTTTAATGGTAGATGCCTGTGTTTGCAGATTCCCATCTGCATACATCCAAATAAGAAACCTCCAGAAGCACCCACAAAGCATAATCCTCCTATCCATCCATTAGCCAAAGTTGTAGAGAGAAGAAATATGACAGGCTAGAACAGCAGACATGACAAATCATCCTAATAAAATACTCTATACCTTTTCTACTCAAAGCGTGTTTCTGGGATCAGTAGCTTAGATATCACCTGGGAGCTTGTTAGAAAAGCAGAATCTCCAGCTCCTACACTTGGTAATCAGAATCTGCATTTCACCAAGATCCCCACATGATTCACTTGCATATTAAAGTTTGAGGTGTACTTTTTGATACCATTTAAGGAACTCAGAACTCACAAGCACTTGGCAGGAAACCAACCAGAAAGAAAAAAATCCAAAACAATCCCCACTCCTCTACTCCTCAAAACCCCACCACAGCCCATCAAAAACCGAAAAGAAACAAACAAGATATGAACAAACTTACTGCTCTGGTTGGGAGACTTTGATCTACAGTAAGTTTACGTCACAGCTCAGGGAAACATCGAGTTAGCTATGGGAGGTTAGTGTGCTCATCTTCAGATCAATACAAGCAGGGGCAAGCTCTTTTAAGCTGAAGCCACACATTAAGTGACTACTTTTAATTGCTGTCTCACGAGACTGTATTGCACTCACTTCTTTCCTTTCTAAGGTAGTCTGAGCATTCAGTTCTTCCTAGTCATTAGCAGAGTGGTACCCTCATTCTCCTATACGGCTATGTGCTCAAGGCCTCTTCTCTGCCTTCCACTAAGATTTATTCTGAGAATTCAATTAGAAAGATCCTGTGTTGTCTAACTGGCTTCCAGCAGAGAGAGAGGGACCATTTGGATATTTTCATATGTGAGTGGTGTGACACTTAAGGCAAATGGTTAAAGTTTTATCAATTAAATTCAAGAATGACAAATTTCTACAGGGAAAGGAGGCTAGCTCAACTCTTAGATGATAGGTTCATAAAGGCAAGGGCTGCGTGTACAAGGGCTATTTTGTTATTGCTGGGCTTCCATGTAGTCCTTGCATGTGGCATGTGCTCATTGATGATTTTTAATAATTGAATTCAATTGAATTATGATCAATTCCTTCAGCCTAATCAGATAGTAAGGTATTCATATTCAGACTGACACTCTTGGATTATAAAGGAAAAAAATACATGACAGTAGGAAGAGCCTAGAAAATAGAAGCCTTGAGTTCTAGTCATACCTCAATGGCAAAAATAACAGTCCTTTTCCTGAAGGGGGAAAATGTAACCATTACAAATTGTCAAAATGTCATGATATATGTGGCATAAACTGTGAAATAAGTCACTGGTCTATTTCTTTTGACATATTATAAATAGTTTAAAATATTATCAAGGTAAAAAATAAAGGCTATGTGTCCATTTGTGGAATGATAGGCCAATATCTGACCAAATAATCAGTGGCTTCTCTAGAATTTCAGTAGAAGAGACTGCTGGTTGTTCTTCAAAATTTGTCTTCCCTCTTCTTCCAAGTATCACAGCTGGGCATTTGACTTTCTAGCTGGAGATGACATTTGTCTGGCTTACTAGAAGCTAGATGTAGCCTTGTAACAAGGTTCTTCCCAAGGTAACAGGAGTGGAAGTGTGGCTTGCTCCCTGGGCCATCAGACATTGCACCTGTGCTTCTCCATGCTCTCTTCTCTTTCTCATCATCCAGACATAAAGCTGCCTACAATTCAACCTAAGCCCTGCAGTTGATGACAAAGTGTAGGAATGGCAGAGAAAAAAAGATGGAAAGAATCTAAGACTCTGTATGACTGTGTGGACCCAGGTTTCTTACCCCAGAAATAAATGTGGACCTCTCACCTTGGAGGAGACAGAGAAGAGAAAGAGAGAAAAAATCTATTCCGTGTAAGTTACTTCATTTCAGGGTGACTTTGATACAGCAACTAGGCCCTTATCAAAATTAATGCAATCCTCTAATATCTACCATTTACAACAAATCTATAATTCTACATAAATATCTGGATAACTTGGGACAGATTCATTTATGTCTCTGGATCTTTGTTCTATTATTTCTAAAGTCAAGAGGTGAACTTAAAAGGAGGAAAAGTCTAAGGTATAGAGTAAAGCAAGATGCCACAGTTTTAAAAACAAACAGCCTTGGACTCAGATACAAGATTCCTGGAAGCATCAATGTAAAGCTGGAAGGAAGTTAAAGATAATTGAATGCAAAGTCTTCATTAAGCCACTGAATAAAGTGAAGCTAAGACAAGTTAAATATTCTGCTTAAAGACTCAGAGCAAATAGTCAGGCTTTGAATCTTGTTCCCTAACTCCTACCTAGGTGTTTTCTACCTTTTTAATATTAATTTAATATTTAGTGTTAACCAATTCATATATGCATGAGACAAATTGTGTTACAAGATTTTTTGTGAAAAACAGCATCCACTGCCCCATCCTACTCCTTCCACCTGAGTGCCGTTCATGAGAGGTACTTCCTTAAACTCTGTAAATGGTTTCTTCTGATTTTCACCTCCATATTTCTAAGCATTATGCATACGTGCCTCTTTCTTGATTTTTTCATTTAAGTCTATTGGTATCCTACTATGATAGATTAGGATTTAAATCACCAATCCATACACACAGTTGCCTTCCTCCATCCCCTTATTCAGTATTTACATTATTATGACTATGAAAAAATCAATTCATGGCTGAATCATGCAGTGTGTTATACATTTCCTGTCTTCGCTGGAATTAATAATTGGCATATTTTATGTTTGTTTAGTTTTCTATATAACAATTCATTCTCAAATTCTCCACCATAAGTTTAAATCTCCATTCAACATATTCAGACAAATCAGCTCATCTTTCTTTTTCATTCCTTTTTTCTTGTACATTACACCCTGAGAGCATTCCATTCTCCTCCCTTAATCTCTACTGGATCCCCCTAGACCTGACATTCACCTCTTGATCTGAGATTTCCCATCATCATCATCCTGGAAATTCTCCTTTTTTCTATCTGTGTCCAATCCTTTGTGTACTAGTTTCCACGTCCTCCTCTTTTTTGATTTTTTCTGTGGTTTGATGAAACACTCTCTTCAATATACTTTTGAGAAAGAGAGTAAAGGAAGTAAGTTTTTCAGGATATTCTATGGCTGAAAAAACATCTATTCTACGTTCTTACTTGATTGATAATGTGGATAGCTATTTAAATTCTAGAACGATAACATTTTCCATAAGTATTTTGAAAGTGCTGGTCTATTTAGCTTCAAGTATTGTCTTTAGAATACCAGTGCTATTATTTTATTGAGATATAGTTCACATACTACAAAATTCACCCTTCTAAAATGTTCAATTCAATGGTATTTATTATACTCAAAAGGTTGTGCAACTATCACTATCTAATTCCAGAACATTTTCATCATCCTCAAAAGAAATTCTGATTTCAGTTGAATACACCTGCCCTTGGCCATGCCTGATTTCTGAGAACAGAGCACCGAAAGTAAGTTGTCTCCAGAGAACACCTCCAGTTTATAGTGGGATACAAGAAAAGTATTTATTGGTGATGTGGGGTGGGATATCATGATCTTGCTTCTGAAAATCTGCTTCTTAAGAAAAAAAAACAAAAGAACACTCAGCTGATCTTTTTGAATGTCCAGTTGTACCGCCTCCAACTTTCAGCAGCGCAGTGTCTGGTACATCTATTTGTTGCACTTTCAGAGGTTCTGTAGCATAAATCAGCCTATTCCTGGGCATAAGGAGCTATTCCAGGAGTTCCTCATTCACAAGTTAGATTCATTCTTTCTGGACAACGAAGTCAATT